CTTGACACTCCTCTTAACACTGCACATATGTTATCTCAGCCCTTATACCAAACCTATGATATAGATACTAATAGTATCAATCTTTAAAAGATGTGAACTTGAGGAGTAAGAAATGAAAGAACTTGTTCCATGCATTGCAGCAAGTGACAAAGATGGGATCTGAGGGCAGCTCTGCCTGTGTGCAGAACAAACTCTGAACCACACTCTGGTAATGATGTCTAGGCATATGAAAAACATACTTAATGCTACCTGGGTCTTACTTGAAGAGTGTTTCTCATGTTTCACATAAAGCCCGAGAATGTACAATAAGAAAGAAAAGTTAATTTGTAGCTTTGCTTCTTTCTGTTCAAATTCTCCATTTTAAAAAGATAATTAAAGTCCAATAAAATTACTAAATCAAACAGAGAGGACACAGATCAGGAGAAACACTGGATGGCTTAATTAACCGGTTAGAACATACATAAAGTTAGGTGTTGGGCTAGAGAGTCTCTTCATTTTTTATAGTTTACAATATCTACCTGTTGAAGTTCCATCCATCGTTTACCACTTGTTTCAATGAGATTGTCACCTCAGGGATCTTGTGATTCTGTTGCCTCTGTCTTTCCGTAGCTCTACAATAACTTGGCTTTTCATTTACTTTGTATTACTATTCCACTGGGGTAATGTTAGATGGTTACATAAGTGTAGTCTGTGTACCTACTTGATTAATATAGTCTAATGATAAACTTGTAACTCTTGCCATTTATTGAGAGATTCCTAAATAACTGGTGCTATGCGAGTCTATTTTGCCCAATATTTTAAGACAACATCATGATCCATTATAAAGAAACTGAAGTTTATGGAAAAGCAGAATCAGGCTAAGTCCATACTATGAGTAAGTGGTGATGGCAAGATTTAAATATATCCTGTGTTTTAAATCACTGTATTATAGTATCCATCAAAATTAGCTTGTGCCTGATATCAAGTACACACTGGTCATGCTAACTCACCATGAAAGATTTTTTTAGTTCACTATAGAGAATGAACAGTTAATTGTAGATTCAGTATAAACTTTAAGTATAAGCCACATAATTCATTGAAAATTTTAAATTTTCTTTTATCTAGAGGCAGAGAACCAAATTCCATATATTGGCAAGATACTCATTTGGCTTTAACAAGGTTTTGCCTATGTAGAGTGCTATACATCTTGTTTTAAAGCATGGAATTTAGCAAACAGATACATGCATTTATTGTATATAGTGCTCTTAATTTTTTTTAATTGCTTTTTTCCTGAAAAAAACAGGCTTATTTCTATGTGAAACATGGAGACAATATTTTGGAAACATGAAATTTCTAGTCTTTCCTTTAAAATGAGATGAGTCTGCAGATTGTATCTTTAAAGCTAAAGTGCTAAGCACATGTATGTATATACAATGTCAATTTTTTTAAAGTATATTTCCATAGAGAAAATAAATTAATTCTGGTTTTAAATTTTAAGCCTTCAATTAAAAATTATACTTTCTTGTCAGTATTGTTTGAGTAGTATTTGCTCTTTTAAATACAATATATGTAAATACAGATGTAAAAATATTGAACCATATTATATTTCAAATCCTAATCAATATGAAATATAGTTTATCTGTATAAATTGCTTTTAGCTTGCAAGATACTTTCACAAATGTGAACTTCCCTGATATTGAAATTATGTATTTTAACTTTAAAAAATTAACTCCTCCATTCTACAGAGGGTGCCAAAAAGATGTATACACATTTAAGAAAGGAAAAAGCTATTAAAATTGTAATGCTCAATATATACCAATAACAAAAGATGAAGTCACGTTTAACTTCTGCAATTTACAAGAGGTGCTCAAGGTGGTTAACTATCAATGTCCAGATACTTCTGATTACGGTGAACTGCTGCTTGAGCAACGCTGACCGAAGTGTCCACTTATATACATTTTTTTGGCACCCCTGGAATTTGTCTTTATTAAATTACTGTTCATTCGTAGACTTGGGCTTAGAAATAGTATTACAGATCATTACAGATCATTAGGTCCAGCTACAAACCCAGTATAAGGATCACCCATTTTCAAATTCCTGATAGGTTGACATCTAATTCTGTCTGAAAGTCTTTAGTGACAAGAAGGTCAATTGGTGGTTCATTCTATTTTCTTTAACTGTTAGAGTTCTTTTATTTTTTTAATTAAACCAAACATTTTTTCTCTTTATGTTATTATATGAAATCTATCCCCAATATATTCATTTAAATTCTTGAAGTCATCTGTTGTGCCCCCTATATTTCATGGGTTTTGTTTGTTTGTTTGTTTGGCTTAACATTATTAGGATCTTAACTCCGTGATCAGTGAACATTATTTTCTTTAATTTCTTCACTGTCCTGATAAGCCAATTCTTATGACACCCTCTTTTCCTCTTATAAAGTCTGACATCCATAGTAGACAGGGTGAATGACTTGTCTGGTAGAAATTTGGAATTGGATACTTTACAATTATTGGTATAGTCTGGCTTGTAACATTGTCTGTTGCATGACACTCCCACTATTGCCTCAGTTCACAGCAAGCATTTGTTCAATGGAATCATAGACACTTTCATGAAGAAGCTTTGTTAATTTTGCATTTGACATTATGGAATTAGTTCAGGACTGTATTTATATCCTTGCTAAATTCAAACTTGTTTGGTGTCATAGGGCTTGGAATTCTAGGAGACTGTTGTTCTCTTTTTGACTACTGAATTTGGCATGAGATAAAATTGCTATGCTTAACTTCATATTCTTCAGAAATTAATTCTGCTTGATTATAATTATTACATGCCAAATAAGAGATTGTTTTCTCTGAAGGGTCTCTGCATTAGGTTTAAATTTGCAGAGATGGTGGTCTAACTCCATGTCTACTGTAACTAGTTGAAGTTTCAGAAGTACTGCAATAAGGAAATTCAGGAAGATTTCACTGAGAAAATGCTAAAGTTTAGATCTGAGGTAAATGCATTTAACTAGCTTGAGGGGTGGGAGCGAATAGGCAGAATATTCAATTATAGGATATGCTGATGGTTTGGATTTTAAATAAATTACAATAGGAAATCTAAAATTTTTAAAGCAAAGGATGACAAAATCAGATCTGTATTTGATCTAAATCTATGAAAATATTCTGTCTGCATTTTTGGAATAGAATGAAGTGGATAAAAGACTTGTTGAAACTAGATAAGATAAGGGTGGCGGTGGTAGCAGTAGAGACGAAGTAAATTGGATAGACTGGAGGATCGTTAGAAGGGTAAATCAACAGGATATGATAGGGAGGAAAATTGAGCCATTGTCACTGATTACTCCTAAATTTTGGGCTAATGCAATTAGATTGCTTGTGCTATTATTTGTAAAGATGGGTTACTCTGGAGGAAAAACTGGTTTGGGTTAGGAAGAGGTAGATGTTATGAATTTGTTAAGAACATATTGATTTTGAAATACTTTGAGATAATGTATTTTAAAAGCTATAAAAAGATATATACACTTTGACCAAGATATCCCATGTCTCTGGGAATGTAGCCTAAAAAAGTAGTGCAAAATATGGGAAAAGTTATTTCTGAAAATGTCCATTTCACTTTTATATTGATAGGAAACATTGGAAGCAATGTTAATGCTCAAAAATAGAGGAATGATTTAATAACCTGTCAACTTAATAAAAGGGGTTTTATTTAGTGAATTAAATGGCTGTTTTAAAAACTCTTTAGCGATATGGAAAGTATTAATTATATAATGCTAACTTATAGAAATAGTTAAAATATTTAGTGTATTATAATTAAAACTGTAAAAACAGATACACATGAAATAGAGTTATAAAAATAGAAATAATTGCTCAATAGGATATTAGAATTGCAGTTTATATATATATATATATATATATATATATATATTTATTTTCCTTATTTAAAAATTAGTAACATGCTTAAAGTGTCTTAAAATTTTTAACAAGTATATTGCAAAAGTAAGTGCAAGTCTTGTGTCTCAAAATTATAGTTTGTTTTTAATTAAGGATTGCATTTTTTCCCCCTGAGAGTTAATTTGGTTGGTTTGTGTACTATTTGATTAACTCTGAATATTTGATGGACTATGGACTCAAAGTTGATAATGCTTGAGTTCCATATGTAGCTAACATCCAACTCTAAAAATTTCTGGATTTGGATTATTTTGATGTGCCAGTACTCTATTTGGTAACAAGCTAATGATTGTTACTAGGAGGGAGAAGCGAAGGAAGAGAAGAAGAAGACAATATAGCTAATCATTCTTTACATTTCATGCTATAATTATCGGTGGTGATCAAAATTATGAAAACCACATTAATACATAAGATAATGTATGTATGTTTTTGGAATTTACTTTCCTATCAATTTAAAAAATCATTTGTTGAATCTAGAAATTGGAACTTACTCTTCCCCCATACCCCAAAAGGAATTGTAATTTCAAGTAAAATTCAATGTATAATTTCATCATTTTAATGACAAAGCCCCCAAACCAGCAAAAATAACCTAACATTAATATATTGAGATTATTATCCTCATAATATATATTAAATGTCATTGCTAACATTACTTATTCTTGTTACTTATTCTTCTATGAATTGAAATTTCATATTCTTGGTCATTACTAAAATTGACCAAGAATATGAAAGTTCAATTCAGAAGGACTATAATATTTGATAGTGTTCAAAGCAAATACACACAGGTTTACATACGGATTTTGGCACCCTCCTTACTACATAACTTCATTTTTGCATGTCTACTAATTTTGTAAAGTTGGGCTTACGATATTTCATCAGTTTTCTCTCTATATATTTTACAAAGTCAAGATAAGGTTAACATATTTCAAAGTATTCTAAACATTCAATTTATTTCAAACGTTATACATCATCAATATTTCATATATTTTGTCAGCACATAACATAAACATGCACATGACACTGCATTCACCAGAAATAATTGGTAAGTTAAAAAAAATGTATTTTCTATGTACTTACTTGAAGTAAAAGAATATGCCAAGTGAGATAAGCAGTGATGCAATAGATAGTCCATGTCCAATTATAGTCAGGTAAAACAAATTCAGTGCAGTCTATAATTTGTATGCATAAAAAAAAATTAAGGTTCATATCAATATTATAATACTGCATGTGTAGAAGATCCAGTTCAATAGAATAAATTACATATTTAAAAACATGTGATCTGATAGCCTTGTCAGTTAGCTTGCCAACCAATAAATGCCTGAATACAGGTGGAACGAAGAATATTTATGCAAATTTATCCAGTGACATCAAAATTTATAAATTGTATGCCCTTTTTGTTTAAGAAATTAGAAGTTGTATGTTAAATATACAAAGAAATGATTTTATTGACCTAGGTTGTGTAATATATGAAACTAGCATTTTATATTTTGAAGGACATTGACAATTTTCACTCTATCACTTCGTGCACCTTAAATCAAAGGCTATTTGATGATTTTCTTTTTGTTGTTTACTTAAATGCCAGATAAGGCTTTCATTCCCAACTGGGTTACTCCTTTTCCTTTGACATATTTGAGGCTCTGAGACAAATCTTAATATGGTAGCTTAGCTATGGTCTATAAGAAAATGTTCTGACTTTCCCCTGGCTTTGACTTCCTTGACTTTTTCTTTATGATTTTTATTTTTCTGTATTCTGTTTATTTGTAATCTACCATTTTATTGCTTATTTTTATAATTCTTTTCAAACCCTTCTCTAAATAAACAAAGAATACCTCATTTATAATTATGATAGCTGACAGTTATCAAGTACTTTCTACATGCTTGTTAGTTTCTAAGTATTTTCCTTGTATTAAGCCCATTTTTATGAAAATCTTGAGAGTTGGTTTATTGTGATCCCCATTTTATGCATGAGGGGATTTAAGGCTTGCTCAAGGTCACATAGTTGGTAATGGGCAGAAACATGAAGTCGTATCAGGACTCAGTTTTAATCACTGTGACAAACTGCCTTTATATATACACACATGTGCAAATATATGGAGGCACTTTCTATCAAAGCTTTATTGTTATGACAAGCTGTGCCTAACCTTGACTTAATGTATGGTGTTAAAAGCAGGATTTGAGTGAGAATGTGACCTAATAGCCAGTCAGAATGAAAGCCTTCTGCTGAGGGACAGATAGAACAGTTTCAACCCTGCTGGTCTTATCTTGTATACTTGAGCACGTTCCCTGAACATAATTCTAAAAATTCCACCACAAATCAAAATTTTCCCTTTGCTTACACTTTTTTTTTTTTAAGCTGAGCCATCCTGCCACCAGTTGGCAGCTCAGCGGCTGCTCAGCTTGGGCCGGGAATCGAACTGCTATTGCTCAGAGCTCAAACTCTTGAGTGAGCTCTTAACCAACTGAGCCACTTGGCCGGCCCTGCTTACACTTTTAAAGTATGTTTCCCCACCCGCCTTTGGAAAGTTTGAAATTCTAATACTGAGACATTGACTTGTAAATACAGTATTACCTAGCAGAATTACTTCCTCAGTGTAATGAAAGAATCAATATTAATAATTTCTACAAAGATACTTCTCTTACAGTTTTTCTCAAAGTATATTATGGAATGGCTTTACAATGGAATGGAGTACTAGCTAAATTTTCTTCATACTGTATTGGTAACTAACTTTCTAAATAGATAGTGTAAATTAAATTTCAATTTTAATTATTACGTACCTTCACTTTCTCATGTGTGTTCACATTACACTGAGTGTAATTTGTCCATGTCCTGTTGCTTGCTGGATGTCTAAACCAGTTTCCATCTTGGTCACAGATCTTTGTAACTTTTTCTTTAAAATTAAAAAAATAAATAAAACAAAACAGTGATTTAATTAAATTTAGGTTTATTAAGTGGATGTCAAAGACATCATATATAAATTTCTGCTATTACCTGAAGGATCAAAGTCCTGAAAGTAATCAGGGCAATGCTGCATTGATTCCGTCCCGGCTGCCACATCATTCCAGCACAGCCAGCCATCCCAGGTTCTGTTGCAGTAGATGCCTCAGGGAAGAGTAAAAATTAGGGATTACTACTCCGTCTAGGTAGACATGAAGACATGCATTCTTAATGGTGGCTTCACACTGACATGGAATAAAGATTGTCTACTGAAAATGAAGACGTTATATAAAATCTAGTCAGGCACCGCTTAATGACGGTGATATGTTTTGAGAGATGCATTGTTAGGTGATTTTGTCATTGTGCCAACACCACACAGTAAACTTACACAAACCTAGATGGCCTAGCCTACCGCACACCTAGGCTCTCTGGTTTACCACCTTATATGTGGATCATCATTGACTGCAACACTGTCATGCGGTGCATGAGTATGCAGCAATCACTTGGATTTTTCACCAAGTAATTATTAGAATAATTAATTTCTAAATTAAATATAGTGATATCTAGAAAAAGCTTAGACCATGAGTGTTGCATGAGATGTTTATTATGTCTAATAGATTTGCACAGCAATCTCAGAATTAATCTAGGCCTCATGTAAGTAGAAAAAAATTCTATTGCCCTGAATATCTAAATAACTCTAATTTTTAAAAAAACAACCTCGCATGATCTCGGTTTTCTTTCCAGTGATTTCCAAGTGCTTATTTAAATAGTTTGTCTCTCTACATTATTAAATAAAGTGCATTTTGTGGTCTGTCAGAGAAAAATTTCCTGGTATTATTTTAGAAGGCATCTCAAACAAGTCCATGTCATTGCTCAAAAGATTCTATCTGATAAGCGAGAACACTGGCAGCAAAATAAATTACAAGGTCCAGAATTTTTCAAACTGTGTTGTCTGACATTTGAGTGAGACATGAGTAGGTATCCCATTTAAAAATGTGCTGTGGTTCAACAACATTGGGAAATACAATATTAAAATAAAAACAGTTCTTTATTGCAATACTTTCTGGAGTATTTAAAATTACAAAGTGTGTTATGAAGTTCCAATAGGAAAATCTATTAATGCAGTGATTCTAAACTTATTTAGTCAGAAAATTATTTTATTATGAAACCCTCATGAACCTATTTCTGTTGTTCAACAATTAGATTTGAAGCATACTTTTACATATATCTAGATGATTTGGAAGGTGTTATTCAATTGTTTTATGCTAATAATACAGATTTTAATGGAATAAAATGAAAAGCTGGATTAGTTAACACGGAATTTGTATACCAATATTTCAATACTTGATAATTCAACCCCTATTGACCTAATATCAGATAATTTGTCATTGTCTGGCATATTTTACAGATATTTTTTAACAGGATAAATATATAATAAAAATATTTGAGCAGATATGTGTAAATACTTCTCTAAATATGAACAAATTATATTGTTCACTTATATTAAGGTTTTAAAAGTTTACCACGGTGGAAAAACCACTTATTTTTTCTTTCTCACAAGCAAGTTCATTTTGACAGCTATAGATATTAATAATAATCTACTTTTAACATTTTATTTATGTAAACCTTGTAGATTGTACTATCAAATATTTTTCCAGGGCTGGCCGAGTGGTGCGTTGGTTAAGAACTGGCGTGGGACGCCAGAGGACCCCGGTTCAGATCCCACATATGAGGGCCAGTGACACTGCCCTCTACAGCTAAGATACTGAACAACAGCTCAACCTGGAGCTGGGTAGCCATGAGTCTCCGGTGATGGCATAGGCTGCAGCCCTTGCTGCAGTGGGTTGCCATGGGCTACCGTGTGTAGCCAGCAGCCGCAGTGAGCGGCAGTCCAGAAGCCGGCAACTGATCTGCCTCGCCCGGGGAGAGCGCAATGATGGTGCCAATTTGGGCCAGTGAAACAACGTCCTCCACAACTAGACTGAAGAACAAAATGACAGCAACTTGTCTGTTCCCCTTCNTGATGGCATAGGCTGCAGCCCTTGCTGCAGTGGGTTGCCATGGGCTACCGTGTGTAGCCAGCAGCCGCAGTGAGCGGCAGTCCACAACTAGACTGAAGAACAAAATGACAGCAACTTGTCTGTTCCCCTTCCCCCAATTCCCCAATAAAAATCTTTTTTAAAAAATTAAATAAATAAATAAATAAAATTGCTCATGTGCCAGAAAAATTAGCAACTAACCCATTTATAATAATGAAACTAAGAAACCCATAATGGTGTAATGGGGTCGTTTTCTTTTAGAAAAAATATCAAATGCATTTAAAATTCAAGTCATGTTTACCTTCTGTTTGTTGAATGGGGTCTTGCATAATTTTCTGGTAACATTCATATTGAGCTGTCATGATTTTATTTCTAGTAACACCCAACTGATTCAGGTCATCATGACCCTCTTCTGGTTCTGCTATGACAAGAATCTAAGGAATTAAAAAAAATAATAAAACTTCAGCATTGTGAAAATGTCTGTTGTAGGCAGTCTGTCACAGTAGAAAACAATAACTGGTGATGTGCTGCCTGGTCAACTGGCTCTGGGGGGAAAATCCTGACTGGTAGTGTTTGCCTCTTTCTCAGTAAATATCCCCTATCACGTCCAACTTCAAGTGACCAACAAGACATTGACAACAGTAGAGTAGGGAAGACCAGTCGATGCTTGGCTCTCTAAAGCCTGTGGAGGCTCGGGCGCTCCAGGACATGTGCTGTGGAATGCAGGCAGAGCTGTATTCAAAAGCTACCACTACATTTTCGCCTGCTCTGTGAATGTAGGCAAGATAGTCAACCCCCTAAGCCTCTGCTTTCTTTTCGTAAAATGGAATAAAATGGTATCAAGATAACAGAGGGGAGTATATGGCACATGATAATGCTCATAATTGTTGCCATTTTTATATTTTGATAATCAAAATATTGAAAACTTCATCTGTGATGTCAGTAAGTAGAATTTTTATTCTGGGCACATCAGTTAAGATGTTGGAATCTATATATTATATCCTTCCAATTTAGTAGCACAATTTTAAGCTTCAAGTCCACTTTGATTTTTACAATGCTTTTTCCTATTTTGTAATGTGAAGAATGTACAAACCTCTTTTCAACTTTATTTCTTCTTAATTTTTGCATTATTTCTATTGATTATTTTCCATAAGCAGTTGTCTTTCTACTCTTATTTTCTCCCCTTACTCTTGATTTTCTGTTGTCTAGCAGAAAGTTGAATTTATGATGTCTAAATAGTAACATTCCCTCAGCGTGTGGTACCACTCAAGTTTCAGCATCACCTGACCACCATTTAACATGAACTCTTTCATTCTTTAGTTTTAATTTTCTAATAAAGATGTATGCAGCAGTTATGCTGCACAAGTAATAAAGAGAAATTCAAAACATCAGGAAAATTAATATTTTTCTCCTGCTTTCAGTAAGTTTATAGAATCGCATAAAATCAATATATTTACTCTTACTTAAAATAAAAACTCAGATTTGCACACTGTCTGAGAAACTGCCACAGTTCCTTCAATCACAATAATCGGATTGGTAATCTGTTACAGAATTACCTGCTGGGAATCAATGTTGGCCTGGGAAGCTCATTGGCAAGCTCGGTGGAGGGTGTGAGCTAAAGAAACAGGAGTCCTGTTTCTTGAATTCTAGTCTATTTATCCAAGATAAGGTCTACGAAGTGCAGAATTTGGACTTCTCCTAGACTTGAGAATGTTTTCGAATACAAATGCTGACAGGAATGTAGCCTTGCTTTTTTCCAGTTTAGGTTTTCTATATTTTTCTTGAGTTTCTTTGTTTGAATCTCTGTGGGGTTTGCTTGGAAACACCACAGGAAAATTATTTGCTGGCACAGAAGTAGGTGAGATTATGTCTCTCAGTTTCTCATACATATAATGAGATAAGAATACAGTTATGATTTTATGTGAAACAGAGAAAAATATGAACAAAATATTTCTGCAACTAAAAATAAAATGAAACATATAAGATACATATTTCCTCCGGTATAGCAATTGCTTTTTAGTCACCTTTTGTCTGCTTTGCCCCTCTAGCCCTACATCCCACATAGACATGCAAAGGTGCACATGAGGTCACACGCTCGTGTACACACCTGCCCCATACTTAGCATCAGTGCCTGCTAGAAAATGGACACTTAGTGCTTCTTTGAATGAATGGATGAGGAAATTAATTTAAAATATAGTGCCTGGTTCTGAATTACTTTTTTTTATCAATATAAGTCAATCAGTTGGCAGAATGGGAGAAAAATCAACAGGTTAGGACCTGTGTTTTTAATAGTTTTAACTCAGAATCAACAGGTCTGGTTGAAAACATTTTATCTACTATGTATGACTATAGAAGTATTCTTTTTTTTTTTTTCAAACTCTGATAATTACTTTTGTCTGGTGTCTTGCATATTGTATTCATTTACCTTCCTCACTTTGACATGCCCCATACCCAGCCGTGCCACTATCCTGTAGTTCCTGCTGTGGGGTGAAAAGCCTTCAAGTGTACACTAAAAGGAATCAATTATTGCTGTGTTGATTGGATGTAAAAATGTACTTAATTTATGCATCAGATAACTGCATGTCATTTTGTTGTGATTCACCTTTACCAGCTATAGATATATTGGAAGTTAAAACAGAAATACTCATAGATAGGCAGATACTTAGAAAAATTTATGCTTACCATAAAAAAAGGCAAGAGAAGCAGAAAACACAGCATACACTTTTTCTCCATCATTAATGCCAAAAAAATATGCTATATAATATAAATCAAACTGCAATAGAAAATAAAAAGAATTTAATTCATCCATCAAATTTATGAAATAAATATACATGGCTCTCAACAGAAAATTTCTTTAAAACTACACAATAACTTTGCTTTAAAGATTTGATTAATAGTCTTATGTATTACCAGTTTAATAGCATCATGCTTTAAAATATTAAAGAGCTTCATTAAATACATTTTAGGTTAATTTAATTAGTATTACAAGCAAGAAAGCTTCTTACATATATATATTTTGGTAATAGAAAACATTTTGTTTACCAAAATTGGGATAAAATGATTAACATCAAAATAAAGAGTTTTGCAAGAACATAAATGCACATATTTTGATGACATATTTACTATAAAGTTTACCTTTATTTCCTATAAATATTAATCTCATTTTTAATTTTCTGAGTCTTCAATACTTTAAGGGAAGAAATTGCTAATGGACCAATTTCTTGAGAATCAGTATCCATATTTCTTTTAAATGGCCTTATAATTTAATAGAAAGTATGCTTCACTGAATGATTCAATTGCTTTTATAACCACGAAATAAAAAATCCCCTAAGTCATCTACATTATTAAACATAGAAGATGGATAATAGCAAAAAAAATATACTTCTTTTAAATATTTCTAATGATCAGTATAATTCTGAGCTAATGAAAAAGGGCGTCCAAAAAACCACCCTTTTAATAAAATTAAAAAAAAAAAAACCTTAACTTCTTAATTCTAAGAGACAGACATTGCTGGGATAAAGTCTCTAATGCTCACTCCCTAGGGGGTCCAATAGCAAGCTTCTCTGACAGTATTTTTATGAGATATGAATTATCCTGGTATAGTCATGAAATATATTATTTACTTAACTGAATGTATAAAATACATTTTTCAAAGAAGATTAAAAAATCCAATCAATAGATGTTTGCCAGTGAACTATGAACTTAGATTGAATTTTGTTAGGAAACTTGTAATGATTTTTATTACAGGGCAAATGTTAGAATAAGAATTAGAAAGAAACTTTTCCACGTGTTTTGCTTATTGTTTTTATTATCACATGAAATGGGAACATCCCATTAACTAGCACATAGAATCTATGCCATTGCTTCCCTCACCAATGACTCACCTGGGAGCAGCTTTTCTTTCTAAGTGTAGCACTCTTTTGGATAACGTATTCTCTTCTGTCTGCTGTACTGGGATTTATTACTAGTTATTCTTAAAAATATAACCAAAAATTAGAAACAGTGTATTAATTTTAGATATTAATAAAACCATGCATGTTGTAACAGAAGAAAAAAAAATGAATCAAAGTTTTTGCAATTCAGTAATTAATGAGTTGATAGTTCAGTTTTTATTACATTTTACCATAAGAAAATCTAATTTTCCAATACTTACATGCACAATTGTCTCCAGACTCAAATCACATTTTCTCTTGGATCATATTTGACATTGTCTTGAAGAACTTCTTAAATCCTGGGGTCATGACCTGAAATATTGATTGATATAATTATTAATATCATTTTAATGAGCCAAAGTAATTTATATGATATATTGAAATTTTTAAAAAGAAACTATTAAAATGATATTTTTAAAAGTTATTCCAATTTTGTAAAGTCTCTTTCACTTACAATATATTTGAGTTTTGTCACACATATTTGTTGTTTTCCATTAGATGGAAAAACATCAAATTTCATTTATCAAGGATACTTGGGATACTGAACAATCTATTGGGTTGTCGGAAAAGTCATGATGTATTTTTATATGTTTTTCAAAGGTAATTTATTTATATAAAGAACAAAGATCAATCAATGATGTTTTCTTCGATAACTTTTTGCCATCTTTCAGTGAGCTTCATAATTCCTTGTTCTTAGAAGGACCTCTTTATTTGCAAAAAACTGAACAAAGTGTTGATTTACAGCCTCATCTGAATTGAACGTTATACCACGCAAGGAGTTTTGAAGAGGGCGAAATAAGTGGAAGCCTGATGGCGCAAGGTCAGGCAAGTATGGTGGGTGTGGCAACACATCCCATCCAAGCTCCAATAATTTTTGCTGGGTGATCAAACTTGTGTGTGGTGGTCTCATGTTGTTGCGATGGAACACAACTCCTTTACAATTAACAAGCTCTGGACGTTTCTAGATGATGAATTCATTCAAACTGTCCAATTGTCAGCAGTACACATTCGAACTGATTGTTTGGTTCCTTGGTAGGAGATCGAAAAACACGACACCTTTAAAATCCCACCACACTGAGAGCATAACTTTCCTCTGATGAATGTCTGCTTTCAATGTCGTTTGAGGCGAATCATCACATCGGGACCAAGACTGTTTGCACACCACATTGTTGTAAACAATCCACTTCTCATCACCAGTTATCAGTCGCTTCAAAAAAAGGATCGTTTTCCTCACGTTTAATGAGTATATTGCAGATGTTTATATGCGCCATCAAATTAACTTCTTTGAGTTCATGAGGAACCCAAATATCGAGCTTGCTTACGTATCCTGGCTTCTTCAGGTGGTCATGAATGCTTGAATGATGGATGTTCAATATTTCTGCAATCTCTCTTGTTGTGTAACATGGGTTTGACTCGATCAATGAATGTCTTTTTGTCATTATCAACCTCAGAGGGCCTCCCTGACCAAGGAGCATTGTTGAGATCAAAATCACCAGCACGGAATTTTGTGAACCATCGTTGGCACTGACATTCTTGTAGAGCATGGTCACCATAAACTTTATGCAACTTTTCACAAGCTTGGTGCACGTTCTTCCCTTTAAGGAAGTATAATAGTAAAATATGGTGAAAATGCACAATTTGGTCTTACATCTTCAGTTTGTTGTAAAATCTCCAAAAGTGAACCAAATTACTTAATTTTTTTTTAAAATGAAGCTAGAACTGTCAGCTGTCAAATGACATAGCAATAACATACACAAATAACTCTAGTACTTCCAAAAATAAACTAGTGCAATCTATTGCAAAAATGCGTCATGACTTTTCTGACAACTCAATAAATGAATGTTTTATCTAAATTTCAAAGAATTAGAATATTACAAAAAGATTATAAAATTTAACTATAGTTTAATCTTCCTTTCAATAACTTTCTTTAATCATTTATTGGAATGTGGTGCTATTAGTCTTAGTTATACATATCTATTTCTCTTGCTGGTAAGGTTTCTCAAACATAGAGACTATATCTGATTAATCTTTGTATCATTTGTGACTGGCAGTTAATTTATATTTGCTTTATAAATTAATGAAAATGAGCCAATAAAGTACTTCCTGGATTTTAAATCAAGAACACTAATCATAACTACTAATTAACTCTCATTTCTTCTATTAGAAGGCTTTAGGTAGTATTTGATTCTGTACTGACAATGAAAATTGGGGACAAAAAGTTCTTATATCAACCTGTTTACTTTCCTACAAGATAAAGTCCTGAAACTATTCAGTTTTGAGTTCTGTGGTTGTTTGGATATTGAACAAAGTGTAGTGTACTGTCATGACTTTGGAAATCATAAAGATTAAGTCAAATTTAAAATGGTAGTTCACGTTTTTCTGTACTGAATATATATAATACAGAAATATACAAATAAGAATGTAAAGAAATAATATTCTATTTGGAAATCAGATAGGTTTTTATGAAATAATACTTTGATGATTTACACATGAGTCAGTATTGAATTACTTTTAATCTGTACATGGATTCAAAAATCAAAAGGGGAAAGTGCTTTAAAAACATGTTTGGAGTTTTCCCAAACCCAATATATTTGAAACATATTTCACCCAACATTAGCAGTTATTATGCTTATTGAGTAGGCTTCAAAATCAGAGTTCCCAAAAGCATCTTAATGAAATATCTTTTACTGTTCATTAGGTCATTCTGGCACTGATATTGTAAGAGGACTCATAAAATATTTATCAATGCTAATCATTCCACATTTATAGCTTTCCTTCCTCACCCTATTCCCTAGCTATCTAGAAAGGGGGCTGCTAGGAACAAGGTTGTATTTTGCGCTCTGTAAACTTATAGCACTTCTAATCAAAGGGTCAGATCTGTGCCCCTGGGTTTACTAAGGATGCAGCAACAAGTTTGGATGGCAGTGTTTCAAACACATGGTGGACACTTGTACTCTCTGTGATATCTGGCAATATGCATTGCATATGGTGATCCAATTCGCTTGAGTCATCTACTCTATAAAGGACTTTTCAAATTTCCCTGCCAGCAGACATATGTGGTGAGTGGTAGTTATGGAAGAATCACTCCTCTCAGCAAGAGTTCTCAGATCAATAATGGAGGAAACATGACTGGACATGTAGATAATGCCATTGCAGATACACCTGGAAGTCAATTTATATTGAGTCTCATATTGGTAGATGTGATTGTTACCAGGAGATGTATGTTGCATTTCTCGGTTAAGCTCATTCATTCTTTGCCTACTGTGTCTACTAAGTTCATTTGGCAAGTGGTTCTTCCTTCTATATATTTAGCTTATTTCAAATTTATCTTTACTAAAATACATTTGATAGTAATTAGCCAAAGCTAGTTAAGCAAATCATTGTGAATCTCTTTCAGATCTTGTTAAATTCTTTATTGACAACTGAGTTGCATGTTGCTTTGTGAAATATGGTAGTTCCTTTTCAATTTTGAGGAGCGATCAAGTATATATGTACAGCAGCAGGTCAAGATAAATTATTAAATCTGTCAGTGGATTTTTTTTAAGTGTGCTTAGATTTGTTTAATAAGAAAAGGACCTCTTCAAAACTGAAAAAGCTCTAATTTGAACTGTTAAGGGAATTTGTAATCACAACAGTACCATGAGCAGTTCCTGGCATTTTCTCTAATTGTTAGCCTTAGGAATCCTATAAATGCATTTTTATTTTCACTTCTCAAATTTAAAAAAAACAACTGAAGATTTGGTTCCACTACTAGAAACAAAATGATTTTCTTTACTGTTCACATGGAATAAAAAAAAAAAAAAGCTTATTTCTAAATAGTCTCATGCTTCTTGCCCAAAGATTCAACAACACAGAATAAAAATGATTTATTTCATCACAGAAAGAACTTTGAGAGATAAAGAATGTCTTAAAACCTCGAATAACTTTTGAAATACAACTTCCTAGTCACTCAAGGTTTTATGCAACATCACTCTGGTTTCATTTTTTACACTCGCCATGGACCCTGCATCACAGGACATTTTTCATGGATCTACATTTCCAGGCCCATACATTTTAACCAATCTTCTTGGCTTACTCCAAAGGAAAGCATTTTTTATTCTACATAAAAATTATACATAAACGTAACTTAATAAATACTAGTTTATCAGAACACAAAAACATAAACCCTGTAAATGCATACCAGTGCCAACTTTCAACTTCCACTTCTCTATTTCCAAAATATCTTGGATTTTTACAGGCCCTATACCACAGTCCAGTTGCTATGAAACTGGCTGACAGTGGCATTCCCCATACATATCTAAGTTGCCATGAAGTGTCCCGAACCTTTGTGTAAGCAAAGCGAGGCTGTTTTCTTATCTAGTACATGCCTTAGTTTGTGGTATGTTAAACAAGCTATATTTCTCCTGAATCTGAACAAGGAATAAGCGCTCCTCTCCAATCCCCGTATTCCATACCTGTAGGGCAAATGCAAACTCCTTCCTGTCATTCTAACTATTTAGAATAGATTGTGCCACTGGGAAAGATGTCAAAATGCATGCTCCCAGTTACCTATTATTTTCTCTTCACTGTTGTTTTTGTTTGTTTTCTTTTTGCAAAATCTGAGTCTTTATACTAGAATTATTCTTGCAAAATACTGTCTTTACTTCCAATAGGATCTTTGAGATAGAAATGCCAAGGTAAAGTTTTAATTCCCCACCCCTATCATGGCCTAGAATGCCCCTAATATTTCAATACATGAAACCATTAAGAAAAACAAAATATAATGAGGTTTCTCTTTCCTAAAGATCGGTTACTGATGTAAGAAACTCAAACTATACATCCTTTTTTATAAGATTGCTTGGGGCTTGCATTAGTTTTAGGCTATTGAATGAACAGGTACCAAGTCACCGATGTAGCATGAACCAGTGTTCCACAAAGTGTGGGTTCATGGATCACCTACATCAGTCACCCCCAGGACTTGCTGAACATTTTTTAAGTATCTGCGCCCGACCACAGACCCTCTGACTCCATCTTTGGGAGAAGGACTTGTGAATCTGAATTTTTAATAAACACCTGAGGAAGTTCTTAGCCTGTTAAATTTTGAGAAGTACAGTATAAATGCATCTTCCTCACTGGAGCATGCTGAGACCGGGACACACATAAATCTCTGTCTCTGGGTCCTGGGCAGACAATTTTGAAAAGAACTATCAAGCATAAATCAAGCAAAATCATTCTGCAATGTCCCAAGCACAATTAATGTCTCAGAGCTCCCAGAATGAGTTTTTCAAATACCTATTTTACAATGTATCATATGATGTTGTAATTATTCCCTC